TCCGATCCGGACTTGTTGGGGGGGGAGGAGGGGGGGAGGGGGGGGGCGGGGGGGGGTGTTTTATAATCAGAACCCCCCATTATGCCCCTGCTAAGCACTCAAGAACCACTTTCTGTCAGAGTCAGATCGAGGTTGCTTTGTATTTGCACAGAAAGAAGGGGGGTAACAAAGTAACCTGCATTATATTGATCGTTATTTGCGGGTTGTTTCAGATTAATGAATGTTACACCTACACAGGCACACATATATATATATATATATATACACTGACCGCACAATTAAAGTATGTATTCAGGCTTCCAGACTAAGTCTGGTGGGAGACATTCTAGGTTTCCGAGATGGTAACCAAGGTCATACAAGCTTTGTCTGACTCATATGCCATATGACTAAGACAGCTCGAGTCGCTTGACCTGTTGAAATAATGTATTTCTCCTGAACAATGGAATGAAAGCTACTCACTGCACACCAAGGCTGCTGTGGTACGTACTGACATGGCTCTCGAAGTGCTAAGATGCATATATCGGAACCATCCCTGAACAACTGCCATCAATGTGCCTCCCGGCAAGACCCTCACGGACAAAAGCGCACCATAAATTCAAGCCGTCTGGCAACCCAGTTTGTACCAAAGATGCCACCAGGCGCCACACCACAAGGATCCTGAAACGGGGACCGAAGTCCTGGCATATACACTCGCCAAAAATAATTCGCCGGACAAGCCGCGCAAAGGCACGACATGCGGCAGATAGGCTGCCAATTTCATTAGCTTAAGGCACGGCCTCCATGCTCAGCATGGAGCTCACCGCAAGTGATGATAAAACTTCTGGCTAAAATTGCTTTGAGTGCATAACGCACTCACGCAGCATGCGCAGTAACACATGAGTGATTTACATGGCTGCGAAGTGGGCCGACAGGCCCTGGCTCCATCGATCTTCAAACAAATGCAGTACGGAGTGCTCCAGTCAGGGTCCAGAATGTTTGGTATACAAGTTACTCTTTCAGGGCGAGCCTGTGTCACGGCTGAAAGCTCGACAGGCGCAGTATTTTCACCGCGCAAAGCTGCAAGCATACAGGAAGGAAGGGTTTTAAGCTTTGCAGGCTTTGCCCGCACGACTCTCTGTCTTGTCATGGCTGCGAGCCAAATGCACTGCTGGGTTAGATTTGTTGTGGACTGCCGTCTTCTTCTCGTGCCAACAGCCCGGGTGAGTTGCTGGGCGCGGACTGTGCGGATGGGGCCGACCTTCAGTAACTGAAGGGCTTCAACTGTTGAAGCCCCTAACTCAACGAGGTCTGTAAGGTACATCGAGATGCTAGTCACTTAGTAATGTGACATGCCGGAAACACGCCATTTACTTGCCCAGGAGCTCCATCCATTGAGTATCTGGACTCTCCATGTTCCCCGTGAGGCTGGCAAGCTGCTGGCTAAGATGCCGGATTTGGACTTCCATATACCTCTGCTTACTGCAGGGGGTACCGTGATGCTTTTTGGATCAGGAACGCCCATAGAACATCTCCATGTCCCAGTTGCGTTTGGAACCGTCCCTGGTTCTTGATGAGCCAGGCCTCTCGGGGAGTACTTCGATCTCTGGTAGCTACAGCGCATCTTGTCCATCTTTCTCGGCGTACCAGGCGACAGGCACAGGTTACTCATGGAGGTTTCCAGAAATCAGTGGTCCCTTTATCGGAGTTCTTTTGACTAGTGGGGAGTATAATCTTTCCCGACATACTCGGAAAAAAAAAAAAAAAAAAAAAAAAAAAAAA